TTGGCTGGTTATCCCTGTATATTTTGATTGTCAATTGAAACATTAATCAATCTAATATTATTTAGAATGCAGAAAATAAGATAAACTAACTTCATTTTGATGAGAATTTTTTTTAATTTATGAAAAATTTGCTGAAATGAGTGAAAATTAAAAAAAAAACGGTGTATTTTCCTGGATAAAAATCCGTACAATCCGTACAATTCGTACAATTTTAGGGTTAAAAAAACAATCCGTACATTTTGGCCACCCTGTGTATTTCAAAGGAATGTAAATTTAAGAGAGGTCGAAGGGGGAACGAGTTAAGACCTGAATTTTAAAAGTTCAATTATTTTTTTTTAAAAAGAAAATTACTTCGATTATTTTCTAAAATGGCACTTTTGAGCTGCTTGAAATTTTGATAAGAAAAATATGTCTTAACATCAAACTTAAAACAGTAAGATTGGCGGTAAAAAAAACATAATTAAGTGTTGCCGTCTTGACTGCACCGTTGCAACCGGGATGAGTTTACTGCGCCTGTCCGCCCGACTTGCTGTGTTGAATCAACCACTGGAGGGTGATGTCTATATTGTCTTTCTCCTTACACGAGATTGAATAACAACAGATCTCCCGATCCTAACAAAAATTATTTAACATTATTTAATTTTGAACCTTATTTTAAATGTTCCTCTACAAAGCTTGGTTTGATCAAGAAAGTTTGATGCATTAATACTTTTAACTTCAAAATGTGGTAGAAGGTAAAATTCCCTTGCGGATTTCTGCTACATGAACAAAGGTGGAATTTGTCATAATTTAACACCGCTTAAGCTTTGATCGGGAATGTCCTCCAAATTATTACTGAAATAAAGATTGAAGGGCTACAGATTGAAAAAGTAAATCGAACCTGAATAGCATTCAGATTCATTTTCTCGATAAGACCGTGTTCATCTAGTGCACCGGGCAGATCACGCTTGTTACCCAGTACAAGCACAGGTATTCCAGCCAACTATATAGTCACAGATAGAGATAATAAGATTTTAACAATAACAATTTTGTTTGGAGGGGGTTAATCCGAAACATTAATAAGCTATGATAAACATAAACTTCTCTGATTTGTAAAATAGTAAGATATCAAATAGATATTTTATAGACGAATCGATAGATTTAAGACACATGGAAAAGGTTAAATAAATAGACCAAATTGTTGGAAAATGTTCAGGTACTCAGATTTGGAAGTGCCAAGATATTTGATTATATACTGTTCATATTAAGTTTGAAGGAATCGCAGACAAGGAAAACGAGGTGATGTCTCTGAAGTTTAAAGTATTATTTTTTATCTGGATTTTCCTGTGGCTTCTCGAGTAGGTTGTGTAGCTCGTTTCTCGATGCTTCTATCTTGTCTCCGTCTGCAGCATCGACCATATACACAATAGCATTTACTCCCCTGCAGTACCTTTCCCACATAGATCGGAACCTAGGCTGTCCTCCTGAATTAAGAGAATTTTTTCTAAAAACCAGTGCCTAGGATCCAAAACCGGATCCAGGTTATCACGAACAATGAACATTGAACGTCTTGATGTTCAGATTTTTTGAAGATTTGTATTTTGAGAGCAAAAGTTTTTCTAGCAGGTTTTTGTTGACAATTTGCCCCTTGATCCGCATATTTTAGCGGATCCGGATCAAGAAAGCCAAAATATTGTGTATCCAAATATTACTAAAATATTGAATTTTAAAATTTTTTGATCTCGTCTATATTGATAGTTTACCTATATCCCAAAGTTTGATTGTCACTGATCCTTTAGATATTTTTCTCATGTTGAATCCGACTACAGGGAGAAATTATACATTTATATAATCCATCATATTAGGTTTCATGTTAGCACACTTATAAGGCTAGACAAAACTAGAAGGACAAAGAATGTTTTGCTTTATAAATAGCGAGGAGAGGGATATAATTTTTGACAAATCAGGGGGGGGGATGAGAAGTTTAATATCAACAGACAAGTTTTTTATCATATTTGATATTTTTACCCTAAAAATTTTACTTTCTCCCCCTGAAAATCATTTATTTTTCCTAATTCAGCGAGAAGAAACCTTAACAAAATTTAAAAAATGAATGTAGGAAAAAATAATTTTCAAGTATCGGATTTGGAGGGAAATAATTTTCAAGTATTGGATTGGGAGGGAAATGATTATCAAGTATTGGATTGGGAGGGAAATGATTTTCAAGTATTGGATTGGGAGGGAAATGATTTTCAAGTATTGGATTGGGAGGGAAATGATTACCCAAGAAAATGTAAAACTCTGCTATTTTAGACATTTGATAAAAAAAAACAAGCCTAAATAAGATAAAACTGACGCGGTTCGCCCTACCATATGATTATACATGCTTTGCAGACGGTACTTCATTTGAATATATTTATATAATTATAAAAATTTATTTTACTTTCTTCAGAGAAACGCTATTTTTGCTAAAATGCCGTGGATTTAAGAGATTTAGATTTTAATTTGTTTTCCTCTGATAAACTTCATTTGAATAAGAAATATTTGTCTGATGTACAACTACCACGTATACAAAAACTATTCTGCATATTTCTTATACAAATGAAGTACCCGTCTGCAAAGCATGCATAATCATATGGTATGGCGAACCGCGTCAGTTATATCCCCCTTCTATTCCATACTCCTTGATCTTACCTCACGAGTAAGTTCAGTGAGTATTGTTCTTAAAATTATTAGTTAAACCTACATAATAAGAATCAAATAGTTATACACTGGACTTGGATCACTAATTTGACAAAATTACTTTATTAAGATCGATTTAATTATTATTTATATTCAGATAATCCCCCGCCTGTAGGAATCATGTCTTCATTGAAGGAACCGCTGGCGATCACGTTGACGAATGTCGTCTTCCCGGCGTGCTGGAGACCAACAAGGGTCAACTCCATCTCCTCCTTAAAACGAAATAATATATTCACTTCTATGTTAGATCGAAACATTATTATTAGGGTGAACATTTTCGCAGTTAGTGTAAAAAATTATAGAAGAAATCGTTCTCTTAAGACGGACCCCACAATTCCTTCACTAGGAAATTACCAGGCTATGGGGCTGAGAAACCTTCCCCAGGAGAATACCGGCCCAAAAATCGGATATTTAAATATTTCTCTGAGCTAATTACCGGCGTAATAATTAAAAAGTGTAGAACTATTGGTCCGTATGGTCTGGGAATAACGTTATAATGCTCACTGTAAGTAAGAAAATAAGTTTCAATTTAATTGTTGAAGAACTTCTCCTTGGTCAAAAAAAAACACAGTAACACTAAATCTAGACAAGTCAAATTCTTCAATTACGTACTAAACAGTTAACAAAGACTCTAGACTTGTAATTTACTGTGGATGAAATCTTCAATATCAAATATAATATATATTCACCTTCCAGAAGAGAGACTTGAACCATTCCAGAACCTTATTGATGATCGACAACATTTTAACACTAAATAGTGAAATATTTGTACTGCACGAAAACTTATATTGATTTTATTCACTTCACAGTCAATATAATTAAAACGAAACCATTTAATTGGATTTAAACTAAAAATTCACACGCTTTAGCGAAAATTGCTTCGATATTTTAACGCTAAAATTTACATGAATGGCTAGATTGTTTATTTATGGAGCTTTTGAAAACGATTGAGAAAAGTCGCTGTTTTGTTCTTCTAGTGTGATTTTATACAGAACTGGTTTAATTGAGGGGGGTGTGTCTAGTTAGGAAAACTGTTTATGTAGAAAATAAATTTTAAAATTTAATCTTAAAAATACAAAATATACAATTCAATTCAATAAAATAAAAATTATGAATTATTTCGAAATTCAAGTTCTACAAAACTACTTCTTCCCCGAATCATTACAAAATTGATGCCGCGTTCATAATTTTATATTCGCCATGGAAAAATTTCTGTGATTCTTTTCTTTTCCAGATATATGATTGAAACAGAAGTCTCTTATGCATTGTTGCGTCTCATGTTCATTTGGGGTCTGTCCTAGTGAACGATTTTTGGACCCCCCGAGCCCCCCCTCCTATCAATTTTGTACATGACCATTTATTTTTTAGCAAATTTATTATTATTTATTTTTTTGTTATTTAGGGTTAGGTTAGGTTAAGACACTTTCTGGGTAATTTCCTAGTATACGATTTTTGGCCCCCCCCCCCGAGCCCCCCCTCCTATCAATTTTGTACATGACCATTTATTTTAATTAGTATTTATTATTATTTAGGGTTAGGTTAGGTTAAGACACTTTCTGGGCCGAGCGCTGCGGCTAGGATGGGCTAGGGGGCCGAGCGCTGCGGCCACGGGTTAGGTTAGTTAAGACACTTTCTGGGCAGAGCGCTGCGGCTAGGACAGGCTAGGGGGCCGAGCGCTGCGGCCACGGGTTAGATTAAGTTAAGACACTTCCTGTCAGACCCATGTACAAAATTGATAGGAGGGGGGGGGGGATCAAAAAATCGTTCTCTAGGAAATTACCGTTCATTTGACTAATCCAAGTCTAAACGGGTCTGTCCTAGTGAACGATTTTTGGCGCTCGGCCCCGAAATTGTCTCAACCTAAACTAAGTAGGGTAGGATTCTGGACCCCCAGCCCGCTTTTAATTTGTGTGCTCAGCAATTTAGGCCATATTTGGAGCCTATAATAGCTTCGGCGCTCAGCCCCCTAGCTGATCCTAGCCGCTGCGCTCGGCCCAGAAGTAGTCTGAACCTAACCCTGAATTAATTTACAAAAATATTCTAATTTTGATCAAAATAACCGAATTAGAGGCCAGAGGGCCGCAGCGCTGCGGCCCATAAATTGTCCAAACTCTAAAATAATACAAATATATACAAATTTTGGTCAAAATAATCGAATTAGAGGGCCCCATCGCTGCGGCCCATAAATTGTCCTTACTCTAAATTAACACAAATATATACAAATTTTGGTCAAAATAATCGAATTAGAGGGCCGCAGCGGTCAGTTACCTAGCTAATCCTTGTCAGGAATAAAATTGATAGCTGGGGTCCAAAAATCTAATACAAAGACAGAACCTATTTAGGAGTACCACCATCTTACAAGTCTTATGTTTTAGGTAATATCTAATCTTTAAAATGTCTGCTATTATGTCCAAAGCCTCTTTGATTTCTTTCGCTGCCAAGCAGGTGATTAATAGAATCATTGTTATTGTTGTTATCATTATTGTTATTATTATTATATTTTATTATAATTATAATTGACATTATTTTTATTTAGTGCCATTGTTATTATTGTCATTATTATTATCTTTCAATTTTTTATGTTTAAATTATATTAAATATTCCATATCTTTTTTTATTATTTGAGCAATAGATCTAGATCTACTTACTTTTGATTTTTTTAACCTTTAAATGTTAAAGGTCTCTTTTTTAAGTGAGCTAGCCTTGAAAAGTTGGATTGTGAAAATGTATCTTACTCCCCTATCTCAATTTTTAGTGCCCCCCAAAATCTATAATAGATAAAAATTGCCCAATCGGGATAAAGTTAATAAAAGTTATTCAAATTGTTGATAATGTTCGTGTTTTCCATTAATCCAATTATGGACAAAAAACATTATTTTGTTTTGTTCAGGGAGTCAGAAATTTGAGTATTGCTGCCCCTGCCGCTCAGAAGGTGACTGATCCCATCCAGGGACTCTTCGTTGAGAAGATCAGAGAATACGCCACCAAGAAACAAGCTGCAGGTTCGAAAATTTAGTACAATGAGTCTACAAAGAACTTGACAAGTTACTCATTTATGCGTTAAACAATAGAATATTGCATTTTCTCTCGCTCAGTCTCAAAGTGACTGTGGTCGTAATTACAAAGTGACCCTCCTTTTTAAGAGGGGCATGACCGATTCACAACTGCGCCCTTTAAACCTAGATTTGTTAAATTATTTGGACGATAACGGCTTCTTTTTAAACTGTAAAATTGTTCATTAAATTCTATCATCTCTCCGTTTTAACTAAAGCAAGATTTGCCAAAATCACTTTGCACTTTCGCAGAGTAAAACAACTTGGATAACTAATATTTGATCAGACAACGCTTTTAAGGGTACCGTTGTGAATCGAAAATGTCACATTAATTTATGAATTATTTTACCAATCACATATCAAGTTTGACTGCTGCGAATTCAGGTGGAAAGATGGTTGATGCAAACAAAGCTACCGAAGCCGAACTTCAGGCAGAGCTGGACAAAGTAAGATTATCTCTTTATTAGACAGATAAAAATAATTTTTTATTAATTCATTAATGGACTTAAAAGAGGGCATTTACTTACTTACTTGTATACTTGGAGAGTAGTTGGTGTAGCCCCAGCTAGGGGCATTTAGCAACATCTTTTCCACACAGTCTTCTTCTGGAAATCTTATCATTCTCTCAGGATTAGTTCATCTCAGAAGAAGATAGATATTCATCGAGTTTTCTTTTAAATATTTTGATATTTTGGGGCTCTCTAATTGTGGTGGGTAACTGTCTTTCCGGATTTCACTACTTAGCTTTGTTCATAACCTTGAATAGATGCTCACGTTGATGCCCATTTTCAGGGCCGGATACAGGATTTAAGTGAGGGGGGTGTTAAATTTATTTCGGAACAAAAAAATTCCTGATTTAGGAACCAAAAGAGGCATGCTAAAATTTTTTAAAGTTAAATTTTTTTTTCTGTTTTGCAATAGGTTTTCTTTTCTTCAAGTGCTATTGAGAAGCTATTCTGAAATCTCAGGGGGGGCTATGCACCCCTTGAATCCGTCAGGGGGTGCAAAGGTCCTGCCGCCCCGCCCATTTTTCTTAATCTGATCAACATTGGTGATTAAATTGTTGTACTTCAAGCCTTAAAAGTGTTGAATTCTGAATATTCCCTATTGTTTTAAAGCAGAAATCCATAAGTCCATCAAGAATAATAAATTATTAAAGAGGAAACTATGAATATCTCAAACAGTCTCTAGACTGAGCTGTTGAAATCACACTGGACACTTCATAAAAAAAGTCATTTAACAGTCCTTAACAAAAACATATAAATAAATTAAAAAGTCACTTAACAGTTCTTAACATAAACAAATAAATAAATAATAAGTCGCTGAACAGTTCTTAACAAAAACAGATAAATAAATAAGAAAGTCACGTTACAGTTCCTAAAAAAACAAAGAATAAATAAAAAATTCACAAAACGGTTATTAACAAAAACAGATGAATAAATAAAAAAAGTCACGTTACAGTTCTTAACAAAAATAGATTAATAAATAAAAAACTGTTAAGGTGGCCCGGGCCTATGGAGGTGGAGCTGGAGTTGATATGACCTCCTTCCCTGAGTTCAAGTTCGCCGAGCCGGTCATTGAACCCATAAATATTTCTCAGTAGATTTCATGTTGAACACCTCCTGTAGTAGTCATGTAGTATCCCAGTAACCCAGGATACTGTAGTATCCCAGTAACCCAGGATACTGTAGTATCCCAGTAACCCAGGATACTGTAGTATCCTGTCAACCAGGATACTGTAAATATTTTGAATATTCACAACTAGATTTCTTTCTCATTCCTGCATGCTATACTTCATTCATGTGAGAAAAAATTTAAATATAGTCAGCTAAGAATCGTTTTCAGAAGTAGAATGATGTCGACACGGATCTCGACTTTCTTCCTCAACAGAAACCTGCGACCAAGGCGACTAGAACAATTTTACAGTGTTCTACAGTCGTCCATTGACGAAACAAATTCAGAGGTTGTGGACACGCCGCGAGCAGAGCGAACTTATGTTGAGATGAATGACAACAATTCAATTTTAAACTTTGTAAATAAAATGAAGAAAGCTGATTCCTCAATTCTCTGTAGTAATGTGATAAAACTAGCAAAACTTAACCCAGAGCAGGAACAGGTGTGAATCTATATTTATGACGATTCTTTCATAGTTTTTTTTTCTGTTTTAAGTCCCCCCAACCTCCTTTTGATAAATTGCCTTTCTACACAAAATCCACTTATTTCCTCAATCTAAAACGTGATAATGGACCCTAAAAAGTCAGCAATATCTAACAGATCTGTAATCGCAAACGCAAACCTAATATTCCTGCTTTCAGAAAGTTGAGCTGAAGCAAGATAAACGGTTCTCCTTCATACTCAGACATTTAGGTTTATTTCTATTCAAGACTAATATCTACCTTGTGTAATGTTTATTTATTTCAAAAAGTATTGCCGAAATTTTTGCATAAATTCGTAAAATATCAAGTGGCCTGTCCAATTCACAACAGTGCCTTAAAAGCTGTTTTGGACCAGGAAGGAATTAAATATATCATTGAATTGAATTATGGTGAAAAAGCAACTTATAATACATATATGAACACATTTGGGAAATGGTTGTTTAAAAAAAACTGCAAGTGTAATTTATTAAAACCTTTACCTGATCACAAATTTGGAAGATGTTATCGTTTTTCTTGGTATAAACGTGTTCAATTTTGATAATTCCCGCATGATTTCTTTTAGTAGAAATACGCAAGTCACTTTTGTAGAGAAACTTGTCAGTTTTCAAAATTATAAACATTGATATCTACTTTGACAATATTGTGTTAACCCTGATAACTGTAGTTATTTTGTACACTATTTCTGACATGTCTAATATCTACTTATTTCTTTATTAGACAACGCTTCTAAGTGTACCGTTGTGAATGAGTTATGCCATTTTTGGATGGAAGGTCACATGAAATTACGATTTGAGTCCCTTGAAGAAAGGGTATCTCCGCAGACTTAAACTTCGTTTTTTATCTAACTTCTAAGAATAGATTTATTCAGAACAAGATGTCAGGTTATAAGGACAAAATGTGTTAAGAAATATTTTGATCTAGCTCCAATGCTTTGCCTAGTGTTTTTTTTTTCTTCACAATTCTTAATCCTTGTTATGGCAACTAGAGAGAACAAAGTTTTTTATTTTTATTAAACATTTTGTCTTTTATAAAGAGGAGTAGATCCATTAGCTCTTATTAGCTGTCTTAAAGCACTGAAGGAAACGGAGGATGAAAAATTTTAAATATATAAATCCAAAAATTGAAATTACTTTTTGATTCCAAACTCTAATTAGTAACATTTAAGATGGGAAAATTGTTTAGATCAAAGTTATATTAATTATTTTACCCTTTATCATCGATGTAAATGGTACTTATTAAGATTGCATAAAATCAAATTACTTATTTTTTACTGATAAAAAATATAATGTTTAGTCCTTCTTAGCTTAATTTTTGAACTGGGTAATTTCATTTGTTTTCGCCTTAATTAGCCAAGTACAATTGATTGATGAATTATTATCAAGATCTTGACTTGAAGCTATAGCATGGGGGGGGGGTAATAAATGTTATTACTCCTGTTATTCTGCAGATGCTTGAAATAGCTGAAGATAGTTTTGTAATGAAGAATCTAGAGAATGCCTTAGTTTGGAGATCCAGGAGTGCTTCTATTAAAGGAAAACACTGAGTTATACTTTCTTAATTAACGCAATTTTTTATTATACTTACAAGAAATCTCGTTCCCCTCCCCCCCCCCGCTTGGATCACTTAAAACATTTTTCTCTCAATAAAATTTCAGTTTGGGAGAAATTTGACAAAAATGTAAGATATTTGTGAAAACGACATTAAAAGCTATTTTACTTATTAATTACCTGGTACTAACTAAAAAATGATATAATGTTTCTCAATAAACATGGGAATTAAGTAAGAACTCGAAGCTCGTTTTTTAAATAACAAATACGCTGTATTTGCTTTCTTGAAAAAGTGATCTTTTAAGTTGTATCTACAAAATTAAAAAAGAAATAAAAAATTTGAACATTCAATCTTTGTCAATTTCAAAGGTTCAACAAAGTCAGACCACATATTGTAATTCCTAAGACCAGTAGCTTTCTATGTTGAATGTTTTCTACGGAAATATTTCTAAAATTGTGTTAACTAAATAAAGTAACGTGAATCAAGACAATATAGAAGTCGTCACTTAATATCCATATTGGTTGGGACACACTGTAGATATATTTCATGTTATTCTGGATAAACTGAATCTTCCTTGATTATATAAATCATAAATGTCAATTGTCTAAACTGAATCTTCCTTGGTTATATAAATCATAAATGTCAATTGTCTAAACTGAATCTTCCTTGATTATATAAATCATGAATGTCAATTGTCTAAACTGAATCTTCCTTTAAACAGTTCAAAACTTGTGTTTTTAGGGGTTTCATTTCTTGTTTTTTTTTTGGATAGGAATGGGGGGGGGTAACTTTTCTACACTTGTTTAGTCTTTATTAGTGTTAAGTTCCTGATTATGTTTTTAATGGTATTTTTATCTAGTGAGGTGTGTACAGTTTTAGAACGTCGTTGGGTAGAATTAACAGGTTAGAAAATAATAAAAAGTGATTTTGCTGAAATATTTGCAGATAATTGTGTTTACATGAAACCTTTATATTTCAATATTTTAATTGAAATATTTTTGTCTGTAAAAGGAAAAAATAGATAATTCCAGAAAAATTGATTACAGGGTTTCCATTCGAAATATGCGCAATAATAGCACAAAATTATCTGTTCAAATTATGAATTTATCTTGTTTCATACCACAACAAAAACTCTTATTGGCATTTTCTTAAAGGCTAGTTTTTAAAATTAATATAAAATATATTTCTTAGTATTATTAAACAAAATTTGGTCAATTGTCAAACTTTCCAATTTAAGAAGAAAAAAATTAAACTTGTATTTTAACTCGTAATTTCTGGAAGACGGTACAGAATCTTCTATTAAGATCCTCGGATACTCTCTCTCCTTCTACTTCATGCTGACAAGTTAACCCCGCAGCTGGTAAACCGTTTAGAGGACAGGGTTCAGGACACTGCAGAGGATATGGTTGTCTGTGATATCGTTAATGTAAGAAAGTGCAGTTAATATCTATTGAAATGAATTCCATGATATGGGGATCTGGGACCAATAACCCAAGATAAAATGCTAACAGCAACTGAAAGCTCAGTATTGTTTATTCCATTTTTTTAATCAAACAATTTCTCCTGTGGCCGAATTTAAAGAATTTGAGCGGTGGTTTAAGTTTAAGCCGCGGCTTAAATATGGCTGGTTCCACTTAAAATTGTATCAAATGTTTCAAGATTTAAGCCACCGGCGCTTGATTTAAACCGGGTTTTGGCAGATTTAAACCGCGGCTCAAATTCTGTAAATTCCATCTCAGGACTTATATATTAAACCCTTTGAGAGTTTTTTTTTGTCAATCATTCATGGTACCCAGACTTTTCCTGACAGTTTATGTATTTACTATATTTTTAACTTCAATTTTAATTAATTTATATAATCATAGATACTGACCAGTTTGGGTAAAACAGGGAGGCGGAATATGCCAGTTTTAAGATCTCTTGGCTTTCATCTCGCCAAAAAAAGGTATTTTTGGAGGATTTTAGATAATATCCTAAAAAAAAAAATTTCCTAGTGGCAATTTTTCAAATGGACAGTTTCATAAATAAATAAATTTCGGATTTGTTCTGAACTGCATAGCACGGCCATGTCAGAATAATATAATGTAATAAAGTGTAATTATATTTTAGTTTACATGTTGAATATCATCAAAATATTTGTATATTAAAGTATGTGTGATAAAAGCAGTGTAAATTTAAATATTTAAATATAGACACAAGTTTACTGTATTAACCATTCCGATAAATTGTTCTTTTTTGAAACCGGCAAGCGATATTTTCTTAGCATTAATCAGATTTTAGATTTGATATAATTTAAGAAATGATCGTGGCAGATCCCAAATGTGTAATCTCCAGATCGGAAGTTAAGGGACATTTTTCGGTGAACTCTTCTTGATTATATGTTTTATATCTTTCCTTGAAATCAAACAGATAGGTTCTAAAACAGAATATAATATCTACTTTCTCCACATTAAGCTGTAGATATTTTTTTTAGTTTTTGATCTTTTCTTGGCAATTCTTCTCTGTTTTAGATCTATCCTTGAAATTAGATCTTCAGATCTTCCCGTAGCAGTATTTTTCTTTTACAGTTCTTTTCTGTTATAGATCTTTCCTTGACATAAAACAGATTGCAGATATTCTTTTCGCCTTCAACCGGGTTTCCTTTAAGGAACAGGTAATGTTTTTTAGTATAATTTTAACGTGGATTTTATCCCAGATAAAAGCGGATCCCGTGTTCTAAATCCTTGATAAAGCGGATCCGTATCCTGAATCCTACACAAAAACGGAACAACCGTATTTTGATAAAAGCGTATCCGTATCCTAAGTCATTGATAAAAGTGATACAGAAGTGTAATTTTTCGAGAGAATATACAACCTTGATTTCTTTATTGTACTCTTTAGATTAAGGACCTATTTTTTATCGTAACACTTTTTAAAAGTGCCTGATATTAAATTTGAATCTCTGTTTATTCAGGACACCCTAGAGCGGATTCTAAGCTCCCTTGAACCTCTCCTTAGTACCAACAATAAAACAGCAGTAGTTAGATCCATTCTAACCAGTCTAGGTAGGTTCCAGTATAAAATACCCCCCCCCCCTACCCCTTGCACCGGTCCTCTCATTGGTTGAATCCAATGGGATTCCACCAATGAAGACGCTTAATCTCTGAACGCCAAGGGGTATCCGGCAAAGCCTAGTAATTCAAGACCAAAAATGTTGTCCTCTAAAGCTTTTAACTTTTTAATGCTATTATGTTTTTACAGGACAGTTGAAGCTTTCTAATCCACCAGTTCTAGATGCAGTCTGTGACTGGTTTGATAAGAGGTATATGAATTTTATGGATATTTTTTCATCTGCTGATTGTGTTTTCCCTACCATGCCCTGGAAGTTTCAAAGTTTTTGTTCTTAAGAATTAAAAATAATCGATTAAATGTTGATTAATCTTCCTTAAATTTTTTTCATTCTTTTTCCTGTTAACTACGTTTTTTGTTTATCTTAGTTCTTATAGTAATTTTGTTTCCTTCCTTTCTACTCTTTTTTAAGGGCTTTAGAAGTTTTTTGAGGTAACTCAATTTAAAAAGTGGCATTTCCGATTCTCAACAGCACACTTTAAACCCTTTTCTAACCACATTTTTAGAACCGAAAATTGAGTGACGGGAAACTTAAGATTAGAGTGGCTTGTAGTCTGCACTATACTTAAGTTGCCCGGCACTAAATTTTTAGAAAAAATAATATGGATATATACGTCAGCATAATTTTATACCTTACATTATTTTGGTAGATTATCGGAGACAAGAGGAGTTGAACCCCGAGATATCTCTACCTTACTCCTCACACTTGCAAACCTCAACTATACTCCACCTGAGAGAGAACAGTTTCTTAAGGTTTTAAATTCCATTTCATTTTTAATGTATTTTCGTCACTTCTTAGGATCCATTTCATTCCAAATAATCAGGGCAAATCCGGATTCTGGATCCACCCTGGGGGATCCAGGTCATCAATATTTTTTAAGATTTACTCATTTTTTAAGGAAAGAACATAATTTTCTATTTTTTTATTCTTTTTTTTGTTATTTTTATGCTTTAACGTAATAAATCATTCAGAGATTAGGAAATTTTTAATAATTTTTCTTTTTTTCAATATTGAGTTTTGAGTTTTGAGAGCAAAAGTATTTTCTAGAGTTTTTGGTTAATATTTTGCCCCGTGGGTCCGCATATTCTTGCGTATCTGGATCCAGATAGATAAAATGTTTCGAATCCAAGGGATTCGGATCCTAAGCACTGATTTTAGTAAATGGTAATTTCACTGTTTTTGAAATCGGAAATAGCTAGACGAAGTAAATAAATGTTAATAAGCTGGATCTGGATCTGCATCGGAATTAAATGTTTGCTTATTGTAGATTTCAAAGTTACTTCTAATTATTTCTAGAAATGTAGCAGTTTAGTGAAACGGGAAGATTTTCTGAGTTTACCCCGAGGAGAGCAAATCTGGGTGGATATTGTCTGGTCTCTTGTAAACCTTAATATGTAAGTTTTTCCTAGTTTTGTGGTTATTACTATTTTTCGAGCTAACACAGATTAATAACAATACAGATAGAACAATAGATGTCGGCTTTCCAAGATTTAAGGGTTTTTGTTCACAATAACCCTGAGACTAAAGCCCAAAGGAGTTACGCGCATGCCGCGTTGAATGACAAGACAGAAAGAGAGCAAGCGCGTAGCTAATTTGGGCTTATGTCTAAGGGTTATTGTGAAAGACAACCCCTCAAATCTTGAAAAGATGACATCTAGTTTTCTATCTGTATTGTTATTAATCTATGGCTAAAACCTTATAGATGGACTGAACTCCTTTTACTCGGTTCAAACTCTATTTTCCCCGCACCTAAGGGATTTGAGGCTGACCCTAATTTATATTGCACATTTTGCTGATCTCGCGGGTAAACGGCAGGTATAACCATGAGTACATCGGCAACGCTTGGTTCCCAAGCTAGTTAAAACTCTACACATCTATTCATCTCTCACCGGCGCGGCAAATCAAAGAATTAAAATTTCAATTTTCAGTGCAACCTCTGAACAAATATCTTCAGTTTTAGAGAACAAGTTCTTCACAAAAATAATAGGTAAGACATGTTGAAGTATATTCAAACATTTAATTGCAATCTGTCTATTTAGTTTATTAAAATTTAAAAATTTTAGAATCTGATGACAAATATACTTCCTTGAAACTGTTAAATATTAACGCTGCGGCTCAGCTACTGAACAAGGATTATAAAGGTACGCTTATACATTGAGCAAATGGATTATGGCGTTGATTTTGGTCCAAATCATAATAAAGTTGACTGCGGAATAGATGTTACCTCCTAATTTTTAGAAAATATATTTCAGCCTGGGTTCTTTAGTTCTAACAATATAAGAACCATCAAAATATATTTCGGCCTGGGTTCTTCAGTTCTAACGATATAACAACCATCAAAATATATTTCGGCCTGGGTTCTTCAGTTCTAACGATATAACAACCATCAAAATATATTTCGGCCTGGTTTCTTCAGTTCTAACGATATAAGAACCATTAAAATATACTTCGGCCTGGGTTCTTCAGTTCTAACGATATCAGAACCATCAAAATATATTTCGGCCTGAGTTCTTCAGTTCTAACTATATAAAAACCATCAAAATATATTTCGGCCTGGGTTCTTCAGTTCTAACGATATAAGAACCATCAAAATATATTTCGGCCTGGGTTCTTTAGTTATAACAATATAAGAACCACCAAAACATATTTCGGCCTGGGTTCTTCAGTTCTAACGATATAACAACCATCAAAATAAAGTTCGGCCTGGGTTCTTCAGTTCTAACGATATCAGAACCATCAAAATATATTTCGGCCTAGGTTCTTCAGTTCTAACGATATGAGAACCATTAAAATATATTTCGGCCTGGGTTCTTCAGTTCTAACGAGATAAGAACCATCAAAATATATTTCGGCCTGGGTTCTTTAGTTCTAACTATATAAAAACCATTAAAATATATTCCGGCCTGGGTTCTTCAGTTCTAACGATATAAGAACCATCAAAATATATTTCGGCTTGGGTTCTTTAGTTCTAACGATAGAAGAAACTTAAAAATAAAAAAATCACAATTCTTTGAGATTTGTTCGTTCTGAAGATTAAACGCAAATTGTGTGTGTACATTGTACAGTATACACTGTACAGTGTACAGTACAGGTATATGTATTAAGTAAGGTGAGGGTCTAATTAACTAACTTATACACCAATGAGTGTGAGGAGTGAGGGGGGGGGGTGTTGACTGTTGAGTGTTGACTTAAAAAAAACAGCAGTTTTTAAGGCACTTCTGATTTTCCCGGGAGACTGAGGAGTGTGTACTGTGTAATTCCTAAAATTCCCTTGGATTTTCAGTTATTTTGACAGTTGTTTCCCCCACGGATATATAATAAAATGGATGGATCATAGACGAGTTTCGATGTAATTTTCTGGGTGGGGTGTTATGCAGTACATTGGAGTTCTAGCAGACAATGGACCCTGGACCAGCTCTTGCATAATTCCTTTCTTATTTAGCCAAACAGTTATATTCCACTGAATTTTAGAAGGTGCGGGGGATGGTTTGTTTAAGTCCCTTGTGTAGTTTTCAATGTTTAAACTTTATTTCAAAGATAGCTTAATTATCGTTGCCCCCCGACCTTTTTAAAGGCTTTAACATAAATAATACTG